CTTGATTGAGTATTAATTAACGAAATGTTATTCGAATGTTGGGTAAAATTATGCATTATTTCAGAGTTCATTAATTCTTGTAAAGTCAATGAGCTGTTATGGAAATGTGCTGAAGTAGTGTTTTGAGAAGTTTGGGCGGGTTGAGGCAAAACTTGCTGTTGTTGGGGTGGTGTGATCGATTTTCTAGAAGAATCCTCACTACTTTCAGATAATTTCGAATAAACTTGAAAGGTTTCCTTTTTGATAAAGCTTTCAGATGATGCAGAAGTGTTGCATGATTGTTGATCATGTGATGAATCTTGAGATGTTGTTTCTGATGGAATTATTTTAAAGGTTGTCACTTCATTAGACGAAACTCTGTCCATCTCAAAGTAATTCTTTAAAAGCTGATCGTTTTGAAGTGGTTTTCTCAGTCGTGTTGATTTCTTTCTTTTCCTTTTCGAAATTTTGTCTCGAGTTCTATTAGTTTCGTCTATTATTGAAACTCTTCTGTTTGAAGAAGTTTCGGATGGTTTTGCATTAGTTACTTGTTGTTGATGAGTTTCACCTGTTTGGTGTTGATTAAGATCATGTCGATTCATTGTTTTTGGCTGGTTAGTGTCGGCACTCCATTGAATAGTTTCGTATTTTTGAAATTCATTTCTTCTTTCCTGTTGCAAGCTACTTTGAGGGTCTGTTGTTTGAACAGACATTACACGATTGTACTCTTCCTGACTAGTATTCGAATCTACAGAGAAATCAGACGAATGAACATCCTTCTCCTCTCTATCCATTCTTTTTTGAAGCAAGCACACAAGATTCATGGAGAGAGAACACAAACAACAACTTGTTTTGATTCTTTTTTGATTTATTTTGTAAAGTTATTTGTTATTCGAATGAAGTAACAAACTGTAATGTTCGTTCAATTGCATTATCAAGGTAATGTTTGGAAGGTTGTAACATAAAAGACTTGCCCTAAGTGACATGATCAGTCGAAGCGTGATATATTCTATCAATTGTGGTTCGGTAGCTAAAAGCTGTTAGCTCTCACCCCCAAAAAGGTCAAACACAATTACGACATTATTTGCAAATGGAATACATGTATCGAATAAAAAGTGTTTCGCTATGAACTTGAACGAAAAGGCCATTAATGATAATGTCTGATAGCATTGAACTGCTTGAGGTTCATTTTTAATCAAAAATGGCCATTACTAATTTGTATTTGAATCAATCAGTTCTCTCGTTTCTTGTTTACAAATTGGAGATTCTTATATTGGATATTCCAATGTTAGTTGTTCACATTAGTGAAGTTGTTTAATTATTGTCTAAAAGTGATCCAGAATTATTATTATTAGCACAGGAAGTCTCAAACGATATTGAATTCTTATTGAAAGACATCATCACATCTCTCATCTTTACAATAAAATCTCAATAAATCTCAATACTGAACAAAACAACAATTTTCAATGTTCAAGTATAGAACTTTTGCTTACTACCCACATCAAACTGACTCACTACTTGAACTCAATTCCAATTTGTGCGACATTAGAGCGGAGCTCAACTCGAGATTAAATCCAGACACATTGAGCAACACATGTGTTTCACACACCACTACAACATACAACATCAAAACAAATAGCTAAACATCATCTCTCTCTTAGAAGAAGTGCACCTTTGAATTTCTCTGTGCAATTCCGCGAGTTAAATACAACAAGACAATAATTAAATACTTTTTACTATTTATTCCAAATAGAAAATGCCTAGAATTGGTATTGTAGGAGGTGGCCCAGGAGGACTTTCAACTGCCAGTATGTTTTATTTTGATTTTTATTAATGTGTTTAAATACAATATTTTTTGTAAACTATTTACAAACTATTGAAATACACTATTGAAATAATTAGTGATTTTGGCTAGTAAGGGATTTGATGTAACCATTTTTGAAAAATCCAAAGTAATTGGTGGTAGAACTTCATCATTCAATGTGGCCATCCAAATT